CCTGACTGCCAGCTCTTGCAAGGTAGTCAGCTCTCTCGTTACCATAAATGCCAGTATGTCCTGGTACCCATTGTATGTTAAAAAAACTCATTGAGCCTGTTTATCTATGCAGGAAGAAGAGGAGGGCTCCGATGAAGAGAATTTCATACAACGAAGCCCCAAGCAGCAACCGCTTTGGTTGGGAACACCCAAATGTCTGTCCTTGGATGAGTCGCAGTTTTCTTCTTCTCTGGAAACATCGGAAACGCCTCTGGTGTCTCCGCTGGAGGAAGTCAAGGGTGTCCAGTCACAGATTATCACRATGGCAACACTGCATGAAGCATCGAGGTACAACTTTTCTCTSTGTGTGTGTGTGWTATCAGAAAGTAGGCTCGGTTTGCCTCAAGTTATTTGACGCACTGTCTTTGTGAGAAAAAAAATCAAATCAAAACTGAATTTTCCGTGATGCAGGCAGGAATTACTGGATCACCTGAGGACAGTTCGATTAGAGAAGCGGAGACTTCACCAAGCCCTGCGCGAGTTTGAGGAACATTTCTACAATCAGACTGGCAGGTAAATGTTGCACACACACACACAAACACACACACATACACACACATCAATTTCAGAGAACGTGACATTATCATTTTATTTTTCTTTTAATAAACTTGGAACAGTTTTTTTAACAATGCCAGTGAAAAACAAATAACATCCACAAAAAAAGGAAGAAAAATAAGTCGCGATGGTACAACAGTGAGATGCACACTCATAACGTTAATTCAGCACAGAGAGCTCAGGAAAAAGACAAATAGACAGACGTTTGCTCTAAACTGTACACGTCCTTGGTACTGTACATGTTAGTCCTCCACAGTAAATTACAGTTAAGTCTTTGATTACAATACACACACTGTACAATGCTATCTGAGTAAGGCAACATAGGGACCATCAACCAGTTGTGGAAGCTGCTGCAGGTGGTTTTGAAAGTGTGGGAAAGGATTAAAAAAACAAAAACGTTTGCATCCTTGTGTGTATCATTAACAGGCTTTGTCAGAAAGAGGATCGTGGCCCGATGGCAGAGGAGTACTGCCAGTACAAGAACCTCAAAGCGAAGCTCCGTCTTCTGGAGGCTCTGCTCAGTAAACAAGACTCAACCAAGACAAGTTGAGTTACTCACAGTGGGAATTTTAATACACCTAACAGGACTTCGCTTTTTTTTTACCCCTCAAAAAAAAAAGAGCTTCTAAAGCCAATTTGCCTTTTATTCATGCCATGCTCATTGTGTAAAMACACTTTACATGAAGAATATCAATGGAAATTCTTTACAGTCTAAATTTTTTAGATACTTTATTTGGTCCAAACAAAAAAGATTCAATCTCATTATTCAGGACCCTTTTTTTTTAAACCTGTCGCTGTTTGATGTAGCACATTTACATGTCATGGATGAAGCACAACAACGTGATATTAGTTACGTTTGAGTAATTCATGTAATTATGGCACTTTGTTTTTCAGCTTTTTACTCTTGCCAAAACAGTCTTTGTCGTTGCTTGATGTGGTAACTGCATTTATTTAAAAAAAATGCATAAGCTTAAATGCATCCAGTGAGACAATCTTGCAGTGTTTGTGCATGTCRGTTTTTTTTAGTCCTACATTGTGCTATGATATGCATTCAGGATTTTAAAGTTAATCTAAATTGCGACCAGTCAATTTAGATGTTCATTTCGGAAAATATGCAGTGAACGTAGGTGTCGTAGTGCAAGTTATATCAGCTGTCAAATTTGTGTTTACTTCCTGACTTTTTTTTTGAGTATATGAAGTAAATCTCTCCTAAATGTCTGTGTTGACAAAGATCTTTTACATTGTGCACTTCTGGTTTATATAGTTTCTATATATTTATATATATATATATATATATGAATGTAATATTAAAAATAAATATTTTTTCACATTTATTCTGCTGAACACATTTTATGGTTCTACCTTCTTTCCACTAACGACAAAGTAAGAGCGAGTGTTGCAGAGATGGTAGAGGTACTGACAGCTTTCACTCATGCTGCACAGAACTGCATCATGCTTTTTTTCTCTTTTTTTTAAAGGTTAAGAAGTTGCTCACGCTTGGTCATCAAAGACCTGGCGGATACACAAGTAGAGACTGTTGCATTAGTACTGCCTTAGATCCCACAACGATTTGATGTCTGATTTTTGACACCTTTGGTATTAAAAAAAAATAAAGGTCGACTGTCAAAGCTGCAGCTCTAGAAATTGTAGAACCAGTTCGTGCCACTAGTAGGAGGTAAAAACAAGTCTGAATTTATCAACTGTGAAATGAAAACAGAACAAACATTGCCAGTGTAATTAGAAACAAATAAAAGAAATATCCACACACGCAGTGGACGTTGAGTTAAAAGCATGTTAGTATAACACCAAAGCAAAAAAGGTCAATTCTAAAATAGGGAACAACTAATTCAAATGAACAGGAATTTGGATCGAAGCAGCTATTTTTAGCACAGTTAAAAGATTTGGTCAGTACACAAAGATGACATGCCAGATGGATGAATAAATAGTTTCAGTTTGTGTTTTTATGTCTTTTTTTTAGATGAGACAGATGAGGGTGTCTGTTTTTTCCTCAATTCTTCTTTGGGGTTTATGGTCTTTTAGGAGTAATGAGCAGTGTCCATCTGGTCGTGTTACAAATCAACTGCTTCATGCATGGGTTTGCTTCAGCAATGTGGCCTTCCTGTGTGTGTGCGTCAGTCAAATTTAGTCCTTCCCTCCCAATTCGCACGTCGCTCCTCCTTAGCGTCCCACGCTGATGTTGCAGGTCTTGCAGCTGGGGTCTTTCTTGGCGTTTACCGTGGACAAGCTCATCAGCTGGTGCCCACTGATCTCCGCCACCGTGCCCAGCGCCAGGTCGACGGGCTCCGTGTAGATCACCTCCAGGATCACGTCCTGGGCGTGGTGAAACACCAGACCCCCGWCTTCGTCCCGCGCGCAGGTCAGAAAGCGGTTGTTGCCGATGTCGAGCGCGGGGAGCCTCTGCTTGCAGAAGTCGTCGCCCCTGGAGCCCTTGGGYGCCAGGACCACGATGACGTAGTGGTAGGCCGTGTACATGCAGTAGAAGTCTCCAAAGTACARGTTGGTGTTGGGGTTGAAGAGCGCGTCGGCCTGGACCTCGAAGCGGTGGCGGCCGTACGGGGAGTCCTGCGCRGGCTTGCCTGTGTTGAACTCTGTGTTGCAGCTGAAGAAGATGCCCTCCAGTTTGCCACTAATGGGGGAGCCGTGGCTGCCGCTGTTGTCCTTCACTGATGGTAGCATTCGGTTTCCTTGCACCTCCCTAGATATGTGTTTTGGAGGGGAAGAAAAACAAAGAAGAAGAATTAAATGTCACTGGCCGCCTCACAAGATGCAATCACTGAATGGGTTGTTGATGTCTCTCAGCTACTAACACATTGTAGCACATTACCTGCAAAACTAACGGAGTTACAGTCATTTATGGGTTTGATAATAATTATTAGCTGGGGAGGTTGTGGGGTTAATCTCAGCGTGAAACATTAATCTCACCAAGATATCTCAGGGAGCTGKTCTCAATTTATCTGTCTCTGCCTTGTTTCCCCCCGCAAGGAACAAAACGTCAGATTTTAAATCAGTTTGATGAGTTATAATGTTGCACCTTAGGGGAAAAGGCTCCCTGTAGGTGGAGCCTAAATCACCCCCGTTGCTAAGCATCTATCACAGATTACATCACAGCTCATACGACGAAGGCTTTTTTGGTTACGATTCTCTTTGATTTTTTTTTTTTACGGTCTATACATAACTGATTTTACAATGAAAACACGAGTCAAAGTTTAGTAGTTTAATTTGCTGCATTAAGTCTGGATAAAATAGTTTTATTTTCAAAAATGATGAAATCCTGTGAAAAACAAAATAAAGAAACACAAACATCCAATCATAAAGGTGTAACCTTTATGCTAAAAAGCTTTAATTAAAGCTGATTTGATTGAATGATGAAAACGTTCAGCTTCCTTGTGAAGTAGTRTTGTCAGTACCGGTCCTCCCCACATGAGGGCGCAGTATAACACGAGCATATTAGCTGGAACTCGGCAAAAAGAGGACAAGATGGATGACGTCATTCTGCACAGCGCCAACAAAAGAGAGCTCACAAGCTGTGGCTTAAGTAAAGAATCTGTTCTGTGTAATATTTCCTTTGAGCCAAAGGCTGAAAAGGGAACGTGATGGAGAAAGGGAATAGCTC